CAGGGCACAGCCAGGGAGGGGAAGAAGCTGGCTCTGCTTAAGGGTTGAGGGGATGGGACATTAGGTGCCACCATCACATATCGGGCCACTTCTACAACCTGGCCCTCAAATAAACAACCATTCATTTGTCAAGCACAACTTAAGTTTAAATTCATCCAACCTATATCCAAAAAAAAAAGGCAGTTACCAAAAAAAAAAAAAAAAAAACCAAAAAAACCCAGGAGGCAACTTAGCACAAAGCCTCCTCCACCTGGAAAAGAGCTTCGCCGGCAGCCTGGCTCTATCCCCCAGCACATGCATTCCAAGACCTGTCCACCCTTCCACTGACCTCCAAGACTCAAATTGATGAGTGAGCTTTGTTAATGGCCCCACAGGCAGGAAAAAACACCTTTGCTGGTGAACTCTGGAGACCAAGAGACCCTCCTTTCACCTCTACTACAGGAAAGGAGGGGAACAGCCCCGTCATCCCACCACCAACTTCTCATTTTCACACCCATGAACCCACCAGCTGTTTTCCCCAACCTGTACTGACCTTTCAGCCTAATTCATTATTCAGCCTTATCTACTCATAGTTGAGGACAGAGAAAAAGACCCCATTTCACAGGGACACAAAAGCAGAGGTTCAAGAACTCTGTGAAACCACAGACTTCTGCAGCCCAGGCCCTGGCCGCTGCTCCAGACATCCTCGAGGGGCTGAGAGCATTCCAAGACACAGGACTCTTCCCAGGCGGAGCTCTGCAGGCCAGTGGGTATGGAACTTCCCAAGTCGCACAGGAAGGGCAGCTCCAAAAGCCATGAGAAAAGCAAGGGCTGGAAGTGGGCCGAGCACCACCCAGATGCTAGATTCTTGGGTGAAAAGGGAACTGAGAGAAGTCATCCAGGCCCGACCCTACCATACCCACTCCTGCGCCCTTACTCTCTCTCCAGTCTCTCCACACTCCTTTAGCAATGGGGCCCACACCTCCACCCCAAGCAGCTTGTTCCTGAGTGATATTCCCTGGGCCTGTCACTTTGGTACTGCCTGTGTCCTTAAAAGCCCCACAGTACAAGACTATGCCCTTTGCCCACAGTGAGCCTGTCACAGATTTGAAAGCAGTGATGCTGCTTCTTAAGGGTCCTTCCCCAACCTTAGGCCATATATGATGACTCCAATTCCCAAAGCAGCTACAAAGTCCTGTGGTCCCCCTTCCTCCCTCTCAGTCCCACTGCCTGAGTCAGACTTTGGACAGCTCTCTGCTAGTCCATGATGAGCATCTCTGGGCTGGTATCAACCCAGCCACCAACTTTGGCCAAATGACCCCTGAGAAAAACAACACAAAGGATGGAAACAGATCAGGCATGAGTTCAAATTCCAGCTCTATAAGTGACTCCACCCCTCCGAGCCTCCATTTCCCCATCTGAAATTAGGGTGGGGGTGGGGTTACCAGCAGCAGCAGCAGCTACTTTGCAGGGTATTGTGAGACTTCAATGGGGTGTCTGTAAAGAGCCTGGCATAGTGCCTGACACAAGGCACAGTAACAGGCAGCGACTCAACGAGCTGCTTACAACCCTCTGTCCTCTCTGTCAGTTACAAAATAAAACTCCGGAGCAGGACGCTGCAGGCTCCCCACAATCCAATCTTGTCCCCATTGCCCCTTCCCACAGTCTGCAGCCTCACAACATGTCCTCTTTCAGGAAGCCTCACTGACATTAACAACCAGATAACTTTCCCTACCACTGGCATTACAGAGCCTGTCTATCACTGATCACAATCACCTCCTGCCTGAAAGCCATCACTTGGATCCTCCAGCTTCCCCCATCAGATCAGGAGCCTCGCCAGTCAAAATCTAGCAGCACCTCACCCCATTCCATGTCCCCTGTCACCCTGGTCACACACATTTTCCATACATATTTAACAAACTATCTTAACGTTCCATTTCAAGTCAAGAATGTCCAAGTCCTCCAAACAGTCCAGATATTTCAAGCTATACTCAAAACCAAATTCCAATCCAGTAGAAGTCTGCCCAGTCTCCAGAGACTAGGAGGCCTGGCTTTGGTCCCAAAGCATGGACACGTGGTCCAATGCATGGACTAGCAGGTCCCAAGCCGAGACAGAGAGAGCTTTGGGCTGCTAAGACCACGGCCCATTTCTAAGTTTCTCGGATGCAGTTTCTCAGTTGGCTCCTAAGCCAACCCTGCCTATGATTTCTCATTCCTGACCACATCTTCAATCTATGATTGCAAAACCGTTGCCCTTGTGTCAAGAGGTTTACTACCCATCTTTTCTTGCTTGCTGACTCCCTCCCTTCTTCTGTTGACTTTCCCAGAGGCCTCTCCTCCTGTTCTGCCCACATTAACAAGAAGAGTCTGACACATGACAAGGGACAGCCCTAGCACTCAGGACCCCTTTCACTCTATCACTTAATTTGTTGCCTGAGCCCTCTCAATATCCAGCTAAGTAGTGGAATTTCCACTTCTATTCCTACAAGCAGGAAGTGAACTGTCAATCCAGGAGGGCTCCCTATTCCCAGGGCCCAAGAAAAAGCCTACAAAATGTGCAAATTTCACTTTCTCTTCTGCAGCAGCCCTTGGAGCTGTTAGAGTATAATGCACAAACTTTCCTCCCCCAAGAATTTCTTTCATCATCTACCCTACCCTATCTCCCTCAGTCCCAGGTTCTAATGGCAATTTGCTCACCATTTTTAAAATAATTAAAGCCCCCTATCAGAGACTGATTGGTAGTCATGAGATATCACCCCACCAAAAGATAGGGCCAGTCCTGAGTAGGAAAGCCAGTGGAGTCTGAGTCACCCCACACATTCACTCTATGGAAGACTTCCTGAGGACATACAGGGGGCCCAACACTAGGCTGGCTAGGAGAGGAACCTGTAAATACATATATTTTCCACTAAGATTCTGTAATCCTGACACTAGCTCATTGTCCCCCCACCCCCCATTACTAGCCTCAAGGACCTTCAGGGCTGGAGCACAGAGACTTGTTCCTTAGCAATGAAGACCCTACTATCACAAGGGCCATGTCACACAAGAATACACTTGGGATATAAATCCCTTGGCCTCAGGTCTCTCATCTGCCTTAAGGGCTCCATTTCTGGGCTCTATCTCTGCCCCCTGCTGATCTGAAAGTGACAGGGTCTGAACCAAGATGAAAGACTTTGCCGCCCCCTGGGTGCTGAGGAAAGATCTGTTGACAAAGCCCCAGCTGTCCCCAGTCAGAGCCAAGGAGACCAGCTCCTCCCTGCACCACCCACATGGGTAGATCACTCCTGCTACCAACCCAGCCAGCAACAGAACTTGGACCATTAGGGAGCTCCAGGCCAAGACTCCAACTGACCTCCCTCCTGTTCCAGCTGGCCACACTAACATGAGCCAGGGCACAAGATCTCACCCTAACAAGTGTCAGACAGAAGGGAGCATCACCCGGGGGGGGGGGTAAGGGTGATGGGGGAGGAGGGGCAGGAGTTCATATAATTTAAACTGAAAATGAAACTGACAGCACAGTCACAGCAAGACCTTGTAGAGACCTATAGTGAAACATAGGGCTGGGAGAAGGGGTCAAATCCCCCGCTGCATTTCCTACCTGTGTGACCTTTACCATTCTGTGCCTCTGTAAAATGTAGCTAATAGTAATGTGGGAGAAATAAGTTGGATGATGTATGTAAAACAATTAATCAGCCCAGAGCCTGGCACAGAGTAAACATGCAGTAAATACTTGTTGAATATAAGCATGCCAACATTTACTGAGGGACCAGAGTCATTGCACATCCTCACTTTCAAAGATACTTTATTTTTCCCATTTTATAGGTGAGGAAACTGCGGGTAGGCCAAAGTAAGGAATCTGCACAGGCCACACAGCTGAAGGCACAAACGCCCAGGTCTATCAGACCCACAGACCAAGGGGCAAAACTGCCCCAGGACATTCCGAAAGCTCTCCTGGAGGCATGGGGAGGACAGACAATGGGGCATGACAGGGTGGTGCTATTATGCTGGCACGATTTCTGGCACTAAAGAGCCAGGTGGCGATTCCTCCGATTCCTGGCAGGTCCCAGAGCCCAAGCGTCCTACGGACGTCCCTTCCTCGCTTCTGTCTGAGGCATTAAAGGCAGCGTTCAAAGGGGGGGACTCCCCGCTCCCAGAACCCGAGGGAGGAGGGAAGTTAAAGACCAGGCCGCTCAGAGCCCAGAGAAAACCGGTCTGGCCGCCTAACCCTTCCCTGAAGCCGGGACCCGGCCTCTAACCCCCTCCCCTTGCTAGACAAAAGTTTCCCCTGTTCGGGAGCAGGGGAGGGGGAGGGGGCATTCCTCGTGAGTGACATTATCCGTGACCTACAGCTGCCGCGCTGCCCTCGCCCGCACCCCGGCCTGCCCCCGGCCCCCCGAGCGGCCCCCCACCCCTTTGTCCTCCCACCCCCGCGCGCTGGGCCCGGCAGGGTCCACCCGCCCGCCCGGCGCCCGCGCGTACCAAACTTGCGCCGGCTGCAGCTTGGGCCCCGTGCGGCCTGCAAACCCGGTTCGGGCCCCGCCGGCTCGGCGACAGGGGACTGGCCGGACCCGGCCCTCCCGGCCTCTTACCTGCCACGGCTGGGGCACCGCTGGGGAAAGGGACGCTCCTGGCCAGGCGCCGGACGCCGGGTCCCCCGGGCAGTGCGTGAGCCGCTGGGCTCCGGCCCGGGCCGGGTTAACCCCTTCGAGGCCGCCTCTCGCCGCTCCCACCCCCGCTCCACGCCGCAGCCGCCGCCGCCGCCACCCGCCCGCCCCGCCTCCCGCTTGCCCTCCTCCCCACCCCTCCCTCCCGGTGCCCAGCCCCCAGTCCCGGCCCGGCACTGCGCTGGGGCAGCTCGCAGCCGCCTCGGATCCCGCGGCGGGGAGGGGACTCTCCCTGAAGCCTGGAAGTTGGGGCGCGCTGCCTCGCCCGCTCAGGCCCGAGGAGCACAAGGGGGCTCCCCCGCGCGCCCAGGGCTCCCCGGCCTGTCTCCCATTAAAGCGCTCCAGCCCCGCGCCTACCTTCCCGAATCGCTGCCGCTGCGAGCGGGGTTCGATCCGGCGGTGGGTGCGGGTCGGAGATCCGCTGCGGAGGCCAGGGCAGCCGGCGGGCGTGCGGCGAGCGCCCCGGGGCGGGGGCCGGGGCGGGACCGGGCACTGCTATCGGGGCTGGATTTCTCGGCTTCCACCCGGATTCTCCCTCGGCTCTCCCGGCCGATTCGGTGCTGCTCGGCGACCACGTGACGCGAGCTGCCTTTGACCCCTGTCTTGGAACGAGTAGGGGGCGGGGGCCAGAGGAGGGGTGTCAGACGCGGGACCCACGAGAGCCGGGCGGCTGCCGAAGGTCCCGGAGGCGATGACCTCGGAGAAACAAAGCCCAAGGGAAACCAACAAGTTATTTGGGGTCAGAGAGGGAACAGCGCTGGGGGTCGGGAAAGGCGGCAGAGAGAACCAGGGAGACAAAGGCCCGCGCCCGCCGCGCCTTGGAGGGCCTTAGGAACGCCCGGGCTGGTCCACGGGGTCCTCCTAGCTCTGCCACTGCAGGGCTTGTGACAACCCTCTAGGGCCTCCTCCAACAGCTCCCGACAACCAGGTCTCTCTGGAGTGACCCCTCCTGGGCAGGACCTTCCCACCCTGCACACTCACACTCTTGCCCTGACTGGCAAACCCCTTTTATTTCCTTTACCATGATTACTGGCTTCACTTACTGGTTTCATTGTTTACTAGATTGTCATCTCCCTCAACAAGTTGTTCTCAGCTGAATCTCATCTGGCATATAACTGGCAGATGAAGAACTTGATGACCTTGTACAAATTTCTCCTCTCAATGAGTTTATTTCCCACCCCCAGTGCTATTCCATCATCCCAAGGACCCTGCAAGTAAGGCAAGATGACAATGGTTGTCCCCATTAAATATATGAAAACACTGAGGCCCAGAGATAAGATTTTGGAGGAGTCTATGTAGCTGAGAATCCAAGCTGGTAATGACATCTAACTGCTCCCCAGCCCAGAGCTTTCAGCCATTAATAAGCCATCTTGTAAACTGAGGGGTGGATGGGGACAGGAATGTTGACTGTGAATCCCTTAAGGACCTTGCTAAAAATGCCCTTTGCCAGACTTTCCTCCCCAGGAGATTCTGATTCTGTGGGTCTTGGGTAAGCCTGGGGCAAATTTGGAAAACAGTGGATTGCAGGATCATAAGGTCCTTCTGAGGCTCAAGATTATCAACTATGGGAACAAAGCTCAAAAAATATAAGCACAATCAGAGCAAAACAGATGAGCATAGAAAAGGCAAGCTAGCCATGTGAAAATCAGATAGACCCGTCCTGCTTTCCCTTAAGTGTAGCCTCCTTGTTCTGGGAGGAGGGGGCTTTCTGTCAGCCTATTCATATCTCCCATGGGGAAAAGTGTTGAGGCCTGAACACTGAGAGATGCAGGGGAATGAATGAGACCAGGCTTCTGATTCTCACAGGGTACCTATGTAATACCTCTGGGTGGGATATTCTCACATAGGCCTTGGCCTAAGGATGATGGCTACAATCCAAAATGCACCTCTCCAGGCACCACCAGATTAGCGAGGGGAAACAGCATAGACCAGCAAATTCTTGATGATCTGGGTTCCTAAGGCAGGCAACCTGGAATACTTAAAAGATGGCCTGAGTCTTGGACAGGTTGAACAAGTTCCTAGAACCTTATTCACGTTAACCTCTGCTTTTAAAAGACCTTTCTATCTGCATGTGGCCCTGTGAGCATCTCCTCTGTTCTAGGAATTTCTGGCAAGGAAATGCAGAAAGTTGAAAGAGACAAGGGTCTACACTCTCAAGAAGTGTCCAGGCTTAAGATGGGGTTATGGCTCAGTGGTAGAGTGCTCGCCTAGTGCAGGTGAGTCACTGGATTCGATCCTCAGCACCACATAAAAATAAGTAAATAAAAATAAAGGCATGTGTCCACCTACAACTAAAAAAATATATTAAAAAAAAAAAAGTGTCCAGGCTTTCCGGGTACAGTGACACACACCTAATATGGAGGATTTCAAGTTTGAGGCCAACCTTAACAACTTAGCAAGCCTCTATCTCAAAAAATAAATTAAAGAGGGCTGGGGATATAGCTCAGTGGTAAAGCACCCTGGGTTACATTCTCATTGCCAAAAAGCGCCAGGCCAGGGGTTGGGGGTGGGGGGGATATCCAAGCTTGTTTGGAGATGACCTGCATGTCCCTCCTTTTGTGTCCAGAATCTGGCCAAATTGAGCCTGATGGGGAGGTACAGGACAAGTGCTATGATTCACAGGAAGAGGAGAGAAAATGAGAAGGTTTTTAAAGGGAGGCAGTATCTGAACAGGACCAGGAAGAATGGGTAGGACTGGGGTGGTGAGATGGACAGTCCTAGTAAAGAGAACAACCGGTCCAAAGGCCATGTGGAAGGGCTCAGGAAAAGCTGAGTGTTGCTTAGGAAGGGAATGGAGGAAGCAGGAAGGAAAGAATGAGCAAGAAAACTGAACAGGGGTCAGGAGAAGATGATGAGTGACCTTATGTGACTCCGTGGACTGAAACTTATCCTGAGGCCTGGCAGAGTGAGAGGGCTACAAGCAAGCAGAGCAGGTGACCAGAGTCACCTGCAGAGGCATGGAAGGGAAGGAAGGGTCAGAGGTGAAGCAGTCAGTTAGGTCAAGGAGCCATGCTCCAGGCACACTGAACAAGAGCCAATCTTTGACCAGCACCTCTGAAGGAGCTCATCCTCAGCATGTGGGAGCAGCCTGTGAGTTGGGGTCTAGTCTTCTAGAGTACTCTTGCTCTTCTGGAGTCTTCAAATGCACTTATTGTTCAATGAGCAGTACCAGAAGCCTTCAGCTTGCTATCACCTGGAGACAACGAGGCCCCAGGCCCCAACCAGGGAGTGGGCCACATAAATATAGATGAAACGAAGGACCTGCACTTCTAACCTCACTCCAAGTCTTGAGGAACACTGCCCTTGAGCTTCCCTGCTCCTTCCTTCCTTTGGGACCTTCTTCATGCCTAGCGGACCCCTATAAGGTCCCCTCCTCACACCCACATAACCCCACTGCTCACTTGACTGCCCCAACCCAACAAGTCAAAGGCTGAACTCAATCAGGTACAGTGGCACACTCCTGTAATCCCATAGGCTTGGGGGCTAAGATAGGAGGATTGCAAGTTCAAAACCAGCCTGGGGAAGGGGGGGGGGGGGCTGGGGTTGTGGCTCAGAAGTAGAGCGCTCGCCTACCATGCATGAGGCACTGGGTTCCATCCTCAGCACCACATAAAAATAAAATAAGATATTGTGCCCACCTATAACTAAAAACAAAAACATCCTCACCAAAAAGTGAGGCCCTAAGCAACTCAGTGAGACCTTGGGGATGAAAATAGGGCTGGGGATGTGGTTCAATGGTCAAGTGTCCCTAAGTTCAATCCCCAGTACCAAAAAAACAAAAAACAAAAAAAAAAAACAAAGGCTGAACTTACTGTCTTCTGCCCATTTCTGTTTCTCCCCATCTGTGTGCCCAATCCCCATGTTAAGTAAGAGACCTGACACCCTCCTTTGCCCCAACACCCCACCTAAGAGCCCATTCTACTGGTTCTGACTCCAGTGTGTTTGTTTTTTTTTCTCTCACCCAATCCCATTTCTCCTTCACCACCACCCTCCAGGACTAAGCCCTCATCAGCTCTGCAGCCTCTTCACTGCTACCCTCTCCCTACCTCCCCCCCACCCCCACCCCGCCGCCTGTGCGCCCCCCTCCCCTCCCCTCCCCTTCTCTTCTCCTCCTCCTCCTCCTCTTCTTCTTCTTCTTTTCTCTCTCTCTCTTTCTTTCTCTCTCTCTCTCTCTCTCTCTCTCTCTCTCTCTCTCTCTCTCTCTCTCTCTCTCTCGGCATTTATTGCAACCTCAACATGCCCATTTTTTACTGAAAATCACCAATGGCTTCTCATTGTAACCAAGATAAGTGCTCTGCCTTGGTGTCCAGTTTCATCAATTCTTTGTCCTAAGTGAACATTTATAAATCCCCACCTTCCCCATTATCTGAACTATCCTCTTCAAGGATGTGGACTTGAGCCAGACTTCCTGGGTTTGAATCCTGGCTCCGCCACATAAAAAACTGTGACCTTGTTCAGTTCCTCAGTCTTTCTGTGCTGTTTCCTCATCTCTCCAGTGTGGGTAATAATAGTTTGTACTTCCCTGGGCTGTTGTGAGAATTAAACAGGTTAAATAAGTAAAGCCCTTAGTATAGTATCTGTCACAATATAAGCACTATGTAAAAGTTAGTTAAGTGAGACAGTGTGATCCTGTAGGTCTCAGGTCAACCTTGATTTCCTCCCAGGCTCTCTCTAAGCCCCTAGCACTGACAAAGCCTACTGGAATACACTTCGCCTCTCCCTCAGCGCTGCCTTTGTACTTGCTTGTCAGCTGCCCATCTCTTCTTCCAGAGTGCAAACTCTATGTGGAAGAACTGAGTTTGTCACAGACACTACTGAGCACATGGCAGGCAGGCAACCAGAATACATTTGTGGTATAAACAATATGAAAGTGAGTAGGTTCATCACAAAATAGAGGACACTGCCTACCTACAAAATGCCCATCAGCTGGGCGCAGTGGCGCATGCCTGTAATCGCAGCGGCTCGGGAGGCTGAGATAAAAGGAACTCGAGTTCAAAACCAGCCTCAGCAATGACGAGGTGGTAAGCAACACAGTGAGACCCTGTCTCTAAATAAAATACAAAAATAGTCTGGGAATGTGGCTCAGTGGCCAAGTGCCCCTGAGTTCAAAAAAACAAATAAATAAATAAATTTATATATATATATATCCATCAGCCATCAGGGCTGGGGATGTGGCTCAGTGGCAGAGCACTTGCCTAGCATGTGTAAGGACCTGGGTTCTACTCCCAGCATGGTTTAAAAAAAAAAAAAAAATGCTCATCAATGGTACTTCATTCACTCATTGACATTACTAGAGTCTTCACACCATTCTGGAGATGGGGGAGGGGGGACACAGGGTTGAACAAGACAGCTGCGGTCCTGTGGGGAATGTACTGCAGAGACAGACATGTCGATACATAGGAAGATACAATACAATATAACAATATTATTTTAATGGTTTATAACATTTCCCTGCCTGGGAGGCTAGGGTAGTCTTTGGAACAATAAAAATAAAGTGGAAAAGAAAAACCAAAACATTATTATCTTCTTTGCCAGCATCACCAGTTACCAGCAAGTCTGTCTCTTCTTTTTCTTTTTTAGTACTGAGGATTGAACCAGGGACACATTACTGAGCTACATTCCTGATCCTTTTTTTAAAGAATAGGGTCTCACTGAGGGTCTTGCTAAATTGCTGAGGCTGGCCTCTAACTTACTATCCTCCTGCCTCAGCCCCC